ATCATTGGGAGTTCAAGACCAGCCTGGGCTACACAAAGTTCAAAACTACCCTGAACCACATTGTGAGACCCTGTCTAAATAAATAAACTATATACGAAGTCTAAGCAGTCTCTCGTAGCTGTACAACCTCAATCTACTCAACTTCATACTCCACTTAAATACTCAATTTTAGAATTCTCACCCCCAATGCACGAAAGTACTTGGTTTCTAATACTTCTATCCCTGCACATCTATCTCTTACCGTACTCTCCCACCTAAGGCCAAGCTATGATAATACAGACATGACAGCAGAAAGGAAAGAAAAGGGAAAAGGGAAAGGGGGAAAGGGAAAAAGAAAAGGAGGGGAGAAAGGAAGAAAGAACCCTTTAACTGATCATGGCGGTGCCTGCTTGTAATCCCAACTACTCAGCAGGCTAGGACAAGAGAATCACAAGTTAGAGCCCAGCCTGGGTAATGTAATGAGACCGTGTCTCAAAATAAAAAACAAAAATGGTTGGAGACATAGCTCAGTGTGAGCTCAGTGTCCCCAAGACAGCAAAAAAAAAAAGTTTTTAATCTTTTTAAAATTTCTACCCAAAACATTTTCACTGATGTGGCCGACAACTATCAAAGCTAGCTGTCCTTCATTTGCTTTTCACTTTTTGTTTTATTTTTTGAGACAGGGTCCCCCTATGTGGTCCATACTAGCCTTGAACTCTACATTGTGCAGGCTGGCCTTGAACTCATGAGCCTCCTGTCTCAGCCTCCAGAGTGCTGGGATTTTAGGCGTGCACTACCACACCTGGCTTTCATCTGCTCTTAACACTCCAAATGATATTAACAATTTTAACCCAGCCAACAGTAAATACAGTAGAAGTAGCAGCTACCATTTCATTAAACGTATATTTTGTATCAGGCACCATGCTGAGTACTTTGTGTTACCTCATCTAATCTTCCCTACAACCCTCTCAGGCAGGTCTTTAAAATTTAGAGAAGGTGGGTGGGGAGGTGGAGCTCAGTGGTTGAGTACTTGATTAGCATGGACAGGCCCTGGGTTTGATCTTCAATGCTAGAAAAAAAAGATTTGGAGAAATTCATTTGCCAAAGTCCAGAAGACAGACTAAAGAATCCAGAATTTGTTCATCTGTCTCAAAATCCAAAGGTATTGCTGGGCATGTTGGCACATGCCTATAATCTCAGCACTTGGGAGGCTGAGGCAGGAGGATCACCAATTCTAGGCCAGCCTAAACTACATAGCAACCATTGCTTCACTTTATTCCAAATGCTTTTTTTTTTTTTTTTTTTGGTACCAGGGATTGAATTTAGAACCTTGCACTTGTGAGGCAGGCAGTGGCACCACTGATGTAAATCCCCAGCTATTCCAAATGCTTTTATTCCTCTTTCAGTACAAGATTAAGAAAACACAGCATGGACATACATATCCAAAAACAAACAAAAAAACCTGAACATCAACCTAACTTCATATCTTATACAAAAAGTAACTAGATCATAGATCTAAATATGAAAAAGTAACACTAAAGGCCAGGAACAGTGGTGGGCACCTATAATCCCAGCTACTGAGGGAGCAGAAGGAGAATCACAAGTTTGAAGCCAAACTAGACAACATGGTGAAACCCTGCTTCAAAAAAAAAAACCAGGGTCCAGGATTTAGCTCAGTGGCACCACACCTGACTCACAAGCACAAGGTTCTGAGTTCAATTCCTGGTACCAACAACAAAAAAAGGAAAAACAGAAGAAAAAAAGCAAAACCAGGGCCGGTGATTTTGGTACCGGCACCTGGTACCAAAAAAAAAAAAGCAAAACCAAAACATTCTAAAAGAAAACATAAGGGAAAAATCTCCATATCTTACAGTTGGGCAGAAAGTTCTTAAACATAAATTGAAAGTATGCTCCATAAAAGAAAAAAATTAATTAACTAGCCTTCATCAAATCTAAAATGTATGTTATTCAAAAGACACTCTGCCTGGCAAGTATAAGGCCCTGAGTTCAATTCCTGGTACCAAAAAAAAAAAAAAAAAAGACACTGGTAAACCAGTCATAGTGGCACATGCCTGTAATCCCAGCACTCAGGAGTCTGAGGCAGAATGATCACTATGAGTTGGAGGCCAGCCTGAGATACACAGTGAGTTCAAAACCAGCTTGAACACGGCTGGGGATTTAGCTCAGTGATACTGCTGCCTGCCTCACAAGTGCAAGGTCCTGAGTTCAATTCCCAGTACCAAAAAGAAAAAGAAAACCCAGCTTGAACTATATAGCAAGTCCCTGTTTCAAAAAAGGCAAAACAAAACAAAAGACATTGATAAAAGAATAAAAAGACAAATTTCTGATTGGCAGAAAATATCTGCAAACCACACATCCTTGAAAGGACTTATATTCAGGGGGAAAAAAAAATATATATATATATACCTACACAGGCACATGCACACACACACATATTCTATTCATAACTGCCAAAAACTAGAAAAACCCAAAGGATATACAAGGTATGACCAAAAACTACAGTAAATGCCTAAAAAAAATTTTTTTAATTTTTTTTTGGTACCGGGGTAGAACTCGGGACCTTGTGCTTGCGAGGCAGGTGCTGGAACCACTAAACTAAATCCCTGGCCCAAAATTATTATAGTAAATTGCCATTAATCTGCCTCAAAATATACCCCTTTGCTTTGAACACACTTATCCCATCATTCTTGTCACTCTCCTCTTTCTTGAACATCTTTTGCAGCGCTGTCGGGGCTACCTTGATCTGAATCGATTCAAAACATTTACCTTTCATGATCATTTTGACTTTGGGGAACACCCAGAAGTCAATCAGTGCCAGAGCTGGTGAATAAGGTGGATGAAGACCCACTGTCACGTTTTTATGAGCTACCTTTCTGCTGGATGGCACTCAGAAGCAGCACTCACTGTGGGTTTTTTTTTTTTGGTACCAGAGATCGAACTCAGGACCCTGCACTTGTGAGGCAGGCGGTGGAACCACTGAGCCAAAGCCCCCCGCCCACTCACTGTGTTTTCATCACATCTTGTAAAGATGCGAAAGAAGACTTCCAGAACTGCTTCAGAAAGTGACGAGAATGACGGGATAAATTTGTTTGAAGCGAGGGGGAGTATTCTGAGGGGTGTTAATGGGAATGTGTCTTTCACTGTAATAAATGTTTTAAATTTAAACATTCATTGTAGGGCAGGAGATGTAGCTCAGGGGTACCATGCCTGCCTGGCAAGCGAAAGGTCCTGAATTCAATCGCTGGTACAAAAAAAAAAATTCATTGTACATTTTAATCACCCCTCATATTCCAATGAATGGATGGAGAAACAAATTGTAGCATATCTGCAAAGAGGAATACACTCAGTGACAAAGCAGAACAAACTACTGATACATCCAACCTACGCAAATCTCCAAGGCACTACGCTAAGTGAAATAAGCCAGTCTCGCTGGGCATGGTGGTGCACTCCCATAATCCCAGCACTCCGGAGGCTGAGGCAGGAGGATCACCTTGAGTTTGAGGCCAGCATGGGCTACACAGTGAGTTCAAGGCCAGCTTGAACGACATCGTAAGACACTGTCTCAAAAAAAAAAGCCAGTCTCAAAAGGTTAGCTAGTGTATAATTCCACATATATGAAATTTTCAGGAAGACAAAATAAGAGGTGAGTGACCACCACTGGGGTAGGGTTAGGGAGGGTGACCTTGAAGGTGTGCATAATAGTTACAGAAGCATACATGTGTGTTAGAACTCATAGAAATATACAACCAAAAGGTCAATTTTACTATATGATAACTTTGAAGATAGAATTTTTTTTAATTTTTAATTTTTTGGAGGGGTACCGGGGATTGAACTCTGGACCTTTCGAGTATGAGGCAGGTGTGGCACCAATGAGCTAAATCCCCAGTCCTAATTTTTAATTCTTTAGAGGATAATTGGTAAACTAAGTAAGGATTTTCAAAAATTACAACCTGAACTCTAACTAGAAAAATTAGATGCTTTTTCATCCCCCAGTTCCAGGAATTAAACTCAGGACCTTGCACTTACCAGGAAGGCGAAGCACCGCTGAGCTACATCCCCAGCCCAGATGCTTTTTTATTGTGTCTGTATGTCTGTACTTTCTACATTTTCCTTTTTTTTTTTTAAGACAGGGTCTCATTATTGCAATTCAGGCTGTCCTCAAACTCACTATGAAGGCCAGGCTGGCCTCAAACTTGAAGTGATCTTCCTGCCTCAGCCTCCCAAGTACTGGGATTACAGATGTGCCCACCATGCCTGGCTTCTACATTTTCTTTTTTTTTTTTTGGTACCAGGGATTGAACTCGGGTCCTTGCACTTGCGCAGCAGGTGGCGAAACCACTGAGCTAAATCCCCAGCCCTACATTTTCTATAATAAATATTGCTTTCATAAATTTTTTTTCTTTTTTTTGGTACTGGGAATTGAACTCAGGTCTTTGTGCTTGCGCAGCAGGCAACAAAGCCACTGAGCTTAATCCCCAGCCCTCTTTCATAAATTTTTTTAAGGAATAAGATTTCTTTTTAATCAACTGAAATTATATCCAAAAGAAGTTTCAAAACTTCCTTTCTCATCTGGATTATCTGCAATTATCACAGGATTTCATTACTACATAAATCTGCCGATTCTATTCCTGAATTCATCTCTTATTCACAGCCCAAAGGCGCACAGGCCCTGACTGACTGGAGACTGAACATCCGCGGGTGATGACATCTCATCAACACTGCCACCAGGAAGAATGGAAGACCAGTGTATCACGAGCCTCTGTGTCTTGGAATTTTAGGGTATTATACAGTATTTACTGCCCACCTAATATACAGAAACTTAGAAGTGGATATGTCTGTATTTCTTTTTCAGTTCAGGACTACAAGAAGCCATCTGAAGGTGTTACCTTTCAGGATGGGAGAAGAGGTTTGTTATCTTCCTACTGTCTGAAAGATGAACCATTTTTGTGCTTTTTAAATATCTGACTCTTTTTAGACTTTTTGCTTTGTTTGGAGCTTACCTTGGAGCACTTCTCTAGGACCTTCTCCTGGAATTTCAGGAATCCTTCCTGAACCTCAGCTTCATTGAGGAAAAAAGCAAGGAAGTGAGTGAAGGGCTGCTTTCTTCTAAAAGTGTCCAAGAGAACATCAATCCGAGTTCGGGCTGAAATGACACCATTTCGATGCTGACCAGCGATGACTGCAAACAAAAAAAAAGGCTTAACATGTTGCTATGGAAATGTTTTCCAGACCCTTAAAACTTTCAACACAGAATCGTTATATAATCTAGTAGTTCCACTCTAAGGATCTAAAATAAATTTTAAAAATAATGATAATAATAATAAATAAATAAGTTTAAAAAATGAGTGTTTTTAAAAATTTGTAGCCAGATGGGCGTGGTGGAACATGCCTATAATCCCAGCACTTGAGGCAGGAGGATTGCCATGAGTTGAAGGCCAGTGAGTTCAAGGCCAGCCTGAACCACATAACAAGACCCGGTCTCAAAAATGTAGGGAACCTGGTCAGAAGTGAATGATTAAGCTGAATGATTAAACTGTAGGACAAAAGCATAGGCTCTATGAGGGGTAAATGGTTAAAATACGGGGCAAAAACACACAAACAATTAAACTGTGGGGCAAAAAGTACACAGGCTGTGTGAGAATCGAGTAGTTAAACAAGAAGTTTAGATTAGTGAGGCATGTTATGTCTGGCCAGGTCCTTCCCCTTTCCCAAGAAAAACTGCCCAGCCTTGAGACAGCTCCCACCCGCAGGGAGACTGCTTTTTCTCCTGCTTTCTTCTCTTACACTGAGATTCTAAATAAAAGCCAGGGGCCGGGGATTTAGCTCAGTGGTTCTGCCGCTTGCCTCGCAAGCGCAAGAACCCGAGTTCCATCCCTGGTACCAAAAAAAATTACTAAATAAAAGCCAGACAGTTCTCGACTTGGTGGCTTTTTCTTTTCCCAGGCTCTCCCTACCACCTGGGTGCTCTTAGTGGAGAAACAGCCCTTGAAGACTGAAATAAGTCTTGCCTCAGGGTAATCTTTTCATCCTCTACACCCCCTAGGGTCACATACTATGACAAAAAACCAGAAAAACAAAAACAAAGTTAATCAAACAATAACTAAAGAGCAAATATGATGAGGTTAAAAATATTCCACAGTTGGGCCAGGGATTAAGCTCAGTGGTTCCGCTGCCTGCCTCGCAAGCACAAGGTCCTGAGTTCAATCCCTGGTACCAAAAAAAAAAAAAAAAATTCCACAGCCACAATTTATAATACCTAAATCTTGGTAACCCCCCGGCCCGGCCCGATGTGGGGTTTTTTTATACAATGGAGTACTACTCTGCCATAAAGAAGGCTGAGATTGAGACATTTACCTAAACTGATACACTTTGAGACCATACTCTTTTTGTGGTTTTTTTTTTTTTTTTTTTAGTACTGGAGATCAAACTCAGGACCTTGTGCTTAGGAGGCAGGCTCAGTACCACTGAGCTAAATCCCTGCCCTGAGACCATACTCTTAAGTGAAATAAATCAAACACACATGTTTACTGCATTGTTTAGGGCTGAGGATTTAGCTCAGTGGTTCCGCCACCTGCCTTGCAAGTGTAGGGTCCTCAGTTGATCCCCAGTACCAAAAAAAAAAAAAATTCCTGGGCTGGGTATTTAGCTCAGTGGTGCCTCCACCTGCCTTGCAAGCTCAAGGACCTGAGTTCGATCCCTGGTACCAAAAAAAAAAAAAAAACAAGTAAGATTGGGTCCTTCTTTAGAGGACAATTACATTCTACTATGTTACCTCCTCCTCTAGTTTCTCTGATATAGAAGCAAGAGGAAAAAGCTAAATGGCAGCAAACCCCACACCAATGCAACTGCAGTCTTGATTTCACATCACATTCAATTTCTTCTAAACAATATATTTGATTTTTCCATATACTTTATTCCCCAGAAGACCAATAAGCCAGTTTATCTTCTTGCTTCTCAAGTAAATTAGTTCTGCAAAATTCTTACCCTTTTTTTTTGGCGGGGGGTTCTTGAGACAGGGTCTTGCTATGTAGTTCAGACTGGCTTTGAACTCACTATGTACCCAGGCTGGTCTCAAACTTACAGTGATCCTCCTGCCTCAGCCTCCCAAGTGCTGAGATTACCACTGTGCCCAGCTTAGTTCTGCTGAACTATGGTCCCCCCACAACCCCATATTTGGGATTGAACCCAGAGCCTTCACACTGAGTTGTATCCTTAGCCATTTTTTAATTTTTGTTTTGAGACAGAGTCTCCCTAAATTTTGCTAAGTTGCCCAGCCTGGGTTCAAACTTGCAATCTTCCTGCCTCAGGCTTGAAGGAACCCTACCAGCGCCATCCTGGTCTGAGCAAAGACTGCTTTAAACCCTTTACCCCTCCTATGCTGGTATACCTACTAAAAGTGTATAATCATGGCTTGATAAGGCCTAGTGAACACAGCTACAATCCCTAACTCCCATCATTATTCAGCCCCACGCTTGACAAGTAACAGCAACTCCCTATGCATTCTCAAGCCTTGTCCCTGACAGGCACCCACAAGTCCTTTTCACTGAACTTTCCACCTTGAAAGTCCCATTTTGCACCTGCCTGGCAAGCACAAGACCCTGAGTTCGATTCCCGGGAAAGGGGAAAAAAAAATTCCCATTTTGACCTTTTTCTGTCACAGGCACCACCTCCCCTGCCGCCATTATGCCCATGGCCCTACAGAAGACCCCACAGCCTGTATGAGAGTTAGCTGGGTCCACTATCACCACTCCTGTTCAATATTGTTCTGGAAACATTAGCCACAGCAATTAGAAAAGAGAAAGAAATAAAAGGAATAAAGATAGGAAAG